ACAGAAACAGGGACTAACAGGAAACTAATTAATCGACGCAACTTATTAATCGATTATACATACGCAATTGGTAACAACAAATAAAATCAAACATACAAACAGGGTGATTCATGGCTGTGTACAAAACAGGGGACTTATGAAACTAATTATTCGACGACATTAATCAAATCGAATGTGTAGTTTATGACAGGTACAATTTAATCAACAAAAGAAAAATCAACCAAATAAAAAGGTCACTGGGGATGAGAAGATGAATTGATAAAGAATGGAAAAATCAATAAAATTAAACTAAACAGATAAATAAAATAAGCAAACACAAACTAGGACAAATAGGAAATGGAAAATACCTCAAGAAATTCGGGACCTGGACAATCCTGACTTGAACTCTGACTCGTACCCTTTTTTTTTTAGGTCGAACGGACCTTAATCGAGTGTTCTCAATGGAGAACACTTCGACTAAGGTCCATTGAACACCCAAAACCTCTTTGATTCGGACAGAATTCCAGGCTTGGGTTTTTAGGGTTCTTGGGCTCGATTTGGGGCTCGAGTGTTTCTAGCCAGATTCGAACGGAACCAAAGGTATTTAGGGTATGAGGGAGGCCAGAGGGTGCTGTGGTGTAAGTTTGGGGCCGGTTGGGGTAGGTTCATGTTTGGCTCGAATCTTCAAATGAATATTCGAAAAGTTCTAGGAAGATTCGAGCTAAACGGTTACCAGAATTGGATTGAGGGTGGTCAGGTGGTCTTAGGGTGTTGGTTTGGTGACCGGCGACGTTGTTGCCGCCGGGTTTCAGGCGGAGATAACCTAAGGCGGCTAGGGTTTGGTCTGGCTCGTCTCTGAGTTAGAGAGACGATGAACAGGGAAAGCGGGGGTGTTTGGTTTGGGGGGGCTGGGGTAGGAGATTAAGTTTATATAGGGGAGGGGTGGTTTGATCTTGGCCGTTAGATCAATCACGATCAACGACCTGGATCAATTCACTTAAGGGGGACTTTATCGTTTGGTCTCATTCAGAGACTGGGTCGACCCGAGTCAAAATGGACCGGGTTGTAAGGGAAGCTTGGGACCGTTGGATCAATAGAGATGGACGGCTTAGATCGACATGCCTGAAACGACGCCGTTTCAACTATGCAGGGGCTGAACTGGATCGTTCGATCAGTTTGATCAACGACTCAGATTTGAGACGCCAATACGGCGTCGTTTGGGGTTATCTGAGACCAAGCAATGGACTGGGTCATGCATTGGTATTGATTTGGGCCCAATTTCATTTTAAACTTTTGGCCCAATCCGAGTTTTCTTCATTTTTTCATTCTTTTCTTCTTCTTTTAATTCCTAATTAACAAAAATTCTACATTAAATTGTGAAATCAAAATTAACCTTACAATATATTAATCAACCCTTAACAACAATTAATACACAAGTTAAAATATTTAATTAAAAATAAAATCACACGATGGCACATTTAAATGACGAAAAATAGACTAAATGCATATTTTTGTGATTTTCCTCTTTTAAAACTAAATTATGGTTTAATTAATTCCTAAATGCACATGCCACGTATTTTTAATTAATTACAACAAGATAAACATTTATGGACAAAATAATTATCAAAAATGTCACGCAAATTCTCAAAATTGTGCATAAGGAAATTTTTGTTTTATTTTTTGATTTCTTTTGGAGTAGTTTTCGTGAAGCAAAAATCACGTGCTCACAGTTGTCCCTTTTAGATATTTTTTAGCATCTTTCAACTTTTGAAACTTCCTCTTTCAACCTAAATTATCTGAACTCCCTATGTAGATTTGTACTTTAAACCCCCCTTAACTTCTGAGTTTTGCTCTTAAGACCGCATGCAAACAAATATTTCCTAATATTTACAAACAGATTCAACAAGAAAATCGAAAGGTATCCAAAGATCAAAACAGAGTTGGCAATTACATAATTTAACCAGATGGTCTGTTTTTTGTATTTATTAATCCTAGATCAATTATTTCTAACAAAATCATGCAATTAAACTAAATAACATGTAACTAAACTGCTATTCATGCAATCAACTATTAATCTAAGCCTATTACTAGACTAGATGCAAGGCTACTGATAAATTAAACAAATCTAAACAAAGAATTACTCAGCTAGAAAATAAATAAATTAAAAAAAAAGAGAAGTTAACCTTCAAAGATGCTACTGCCAGAACTCTGGTGGCCATGCAATGAATTAAAATTACCATCAATCGATTGTTCTTATCAAGAGCAATCGACTGATGTTGATTTCAAACCCAAAATGACAAAAAATAAACTCAAATCAGGAATGGGCTAGGGTTTTATGGGATTTCTCGGATTTGAAATTCATGAGTTTTGGGAATTTTTTTGGGGGAAATTAGTGAGGGATTTGGACTGAGGGGACGATGGAGGTTATATGGTTAGAATTTGGGGTTGTTTGGAGCTCTAGTTGTCGGTGGGAGAGGTAAGGGATTTAGGGCGGCTAGGTTTTGGAGAGAGGGTGAGGAAAATGAAAAATGAAGGGTATTTAAGGTTTGGGGGGTCGATTAGGACATATATTATATATAAGGGTTTTGATTGTTCAGTTCCCAACCATTAGATCATAATTGATCAACAAATGGGATTACTGAGGGGAAAACAGGATCGTTTGGTTTTGACCGGATTGGGCTTGTGGGAATTGGGCTGGTTTGGAAAGGGAAAAAGCGAGTGTTACATCAATTTGGGCCACGAAAAATTGGCCCAGTCCGGTTTCAACTTAAAACAAAACCTCCCTTTTTTCCCTTGTTTAGCTTCCTTTGATTTTTAATTGAAATCCTAACTTAAAATCAATTTTTAAAATTAAACCTAGCTTACTAATTAATCAACTTATCCCTAATGAAAGAAAATTATCAAATTAAACTAAAAGCTAAAAATATAAACACGACCCTTGTATTTTTGTATTTTTTATTTAATAATGTATTTTAATAACGTAATTAAATTCTAAATGCAAATAAAAAATTAAAATACTATGCAATGAAGATTTGAACATTTTTATGGTATTTTTCATGATTTAAAAATATTAAATATGCATAAAAATACAGCTACAACGTAAACAAACAATTAAAAAAAGTTCCTAAAAACTCTATAAAATCAAAATAGTTAGAAAATTTATTTTGTGGATTTTGTAGAAGTATTTTCTAGGGGCAAAAATTACGTGCTCACAAACCCCATCGAAAGGAAAGGAAAAAATGTGTTTAGTAAATATAGTTTAGGAGAATGTCTATCAAAAAATCAATTTTCTTGCATCAATATTAATCAAGATTCAACTATTATATAGTTAATTATATTTTAATCATTACCTTAATGATATTATTATTATAATCCATATATATTAGTCCGTTAACACGCTGCCACGTGGCACTGCGTCAAGATTTTACCCTTTCCCTCCGTGCCTTTACTTGAAAAAGGTGAAAAAGCAGCGAAAGATCCAAAGTAGCAATCAGCTCCAGTGTGTTTTGACAAATGCAGTCACCGCCGTCTCTTCTGAATTCCTCATTTCTTCAATATTATACTACCATCTCCTTCTCGAAGTTTCTCTCCCAAACTTACGTATACGTACATGTACGTATGACCAAAGGTGAAGTCTTTCTGTGTGTGAAAATTGAGGGATGTATGCGAAGCAGAAGAAGCTAAGGCCTCGACTTGACCGGCGAAACGCCCTAAGGAACGTCGATTACGACGCTTCACAGTCGACGCCGTCATCTCCGTCGTCGTTCGAAGATCAGCCTACTCACCGGACTCGGTCGCTTGACCTTTATCCTTTGACCGACTGTACAAGCTTCAGAATCGACGGTGTTGGCGGTGAATTCGACGTTATTTGCCGCTCTTTAGGGCTTTCAGGTCCTGAAGACTTTGCGATTCCTGTAGCTGCTTGGGAAGCTCGGAAACCTTGCTCCCGTTCTGACCGTTTGCGCCGCTCTCGTTTTGCTGATTCCCGCCGTGACTCTGATTATAAGCTCGAGACTTCAAATGAATCGAACCGCCGGTTAAATGATTCGCCGGAAAATGTGATTGAGGTTTCGTCTAGTGAATCGGAGGAAGAGACCAAACCATGCTCTCACTCGGACCGTTTCAGCTCTGAGAATGAGTTTGAGAGCTCGGATGAGGTTTTTGACAGTGTTAGAAATGGTGTTAGGGTTACTGTTGGCGGTGAATTGAATCACGGTTTAAATTCTTCACCTGAAAATGGGATTAAGATTAGGGTTAGTGAACTGGAGGATGATTATTTGCCTACGGATCTGAAATGTGGAATTAGGGGTTCTAGGCCACCAAGGCTGGCTCCTCCAGCATCGCCCGTGGACGAGTTCACATCTGCTTGGGATTTTATCAAAAGTTTTGGTCCTGCAGATGATGAAGATATGGTTTCACCGTCACATGTTGAGAGCACTTCCGACGACATACTTGGAAACGAGCAAGTAGGAGACATTATTGCTAAGAATGAAGAGCGTAATGAGGATTTTGTAAAAAGTGCTTCTCAAGTATCACAGACAAGCTCAGAGTCTTATGTGGAAGGTGTAAGAGATGCTGCTGAGGATGTTCCAGATTTAAACTCTAAATCACAGAGTCATGGTTCCTACAGCCTGATATCGAAGACAAGCTCCAAATCACCTAGTGGTGAATCCACTAGCGCTGTCTCAAATATAAGCTCTAACTCACAGAGTGATGAATCCTATACATTGATTTTGAAGCCTGTATATTCTGTTTCTCCAAATGGTTCTCCCAGTATAAAATCTTGGCAAAAGGGAGATTTTCTTGGTAGTGGGTCATTTGGAACCGTGTATGAAGGCTTCACTGAGTAAGTGATTACATTTTTACGTCATTCCTTTTCCACACACATGAATAGCTATTGTGTATCTTAGAGCTAGGTTGCTTGCTTATCCGCAATTTGAAGCTAAGTTTATTTGGACATATCTTCAACAAATTGGTGCTATTAGACTCTTCTGGGGAAAACAACATTCTCAGGTGTATATTAGCTTCCTCACCTTCTGGCTATCTCTGATCAGAAAAGAATCATGATATAGTTCTTTATCATGATCTGACTAGTATTCATGATTAAAGATAAAGCCACGGGTTAAATTTTATTAGCAACAGTGTAAAAAATTGCTTCACCATACCAAGGGATACATGCTTCTAGATCTAAGACCATACCAAGGGATACATGCTTCTAGATCTTGTAAGGCATAGAACTATCTACACTACCAACACTGCTTGTTTAGGCATCAACTCCAGCAATAATCAATAAAGTCTGAAATCCTAAAAAGAGGATCGGATATTTTGTACTATAAATTCGTAAAGCAGAATATCTTGATTTTGGGAAAATAAAAGATGGGAAGCGAGAAAACCTTTAGAAAACCATAGACCAAGAAAGGTGATAAAGGATTTATATGTTGATCAAATTTAGCTATTTAGGCCTAAGCGTTGATTCTTTGACACATAGGAGAAGAATCCATATGATAGGTAAGCCAAAGCTCCCTCACTCCAGCTGCTTATAGTAACGTGAACATGCAAGTATCAGCTTGGGCATCCAAACTACAATATTTATTCTTATTAAAATGGAATCTTTGTTCTGCCCTTTGTCCTCTTGTACTTCTTGATTCCTTGCATTTTCAGATAGACTGCGTCTCCTGACATACATTCCTCTTTGTCATACATGGTTATATCTATGTGTGTGTGTGTGTGTGTTTGGGCGGGAGGGGGAAGGGTGGGGGTGTTCTAAGACCGACAATTAGCTACTGTAAGATTGGACATCTATCTATCTCACCTTGCTCCTATACTCCTACGGAGCCGACAGAAGGAATGATCTACTCATCTTATTTCTGTGTGTGTAATTTTGTATGCTTAGGGAATCTTCATATTCCTAACAAAACCTCTAGTACAGACAATCTTCATTTTATAGAAAGTGATTTTCTTGGTTCAATTTGGTGTGACTGCAATAATGTTTTGAAGGTTGTACTGGTGGTGAGCTTACAAATTTCTGGAAGGGCCTGCTAGTGGGGTTTTATGAGAGTCCTTAGTTGTGGATGGGGTGATGATTGAGGGAGATGAGGAGGGAAAATGGGCGATAATGGGGTTTTATGAGAACTTATACAAAGAGGAAGTTAGTTGGAGGCCGACTTTGGGGTAAAATAGAGTTCAACCACATAGGCGAGGGAGACAACGAGTGGCTAGAAAGGGCTTTCGAGGAGGAGGAGGTTACACGAGGCTGTGTCTAGTTGTGCTGGTGATAAGGCCCCCGGACCTGATGGTTTCTCCTTGGCCTTCTTCCGGCTCTGTTGGGACACTGTCAAGGGGGAGTTGATGGAAGCCATTGAATACTTCCATGTGAATGGTGTTTTCGAGAGAAGTATCAATGCTTCTTTTTTTACTATTGTGCCTAAGAAAGAAGGTGCATCTTGTATTAGAGACTACAAGCCTATTAATCTCATGGGGAGCATTTACAAGATTATTTCTAAAGTGCTTTCCAACAGACTTAAGAAGGTTCTTAACGTGACTGTTTCGTCCTCCCAAAATGCTTTTGTGGAAGGTAGGCAGATCCTGGATGCTGCTTTGGTGGCAAATGAACTTGTAGACTCCAGAAGGAAAAATAGAGAACCTGGCTTACTATGCAAGTTGGACCTTTAAAAGGCTTTCGACCATGTCAATTGAGAGTTCTTGGATTTCATTATGATGCGGATGGGGTTTGGGGCAAGATGAAGGGGATGGATCAAGTTCTGCATTTCCTCAGTCAGATTCTCTGTCTTGGTTAATGGCAGCCCGTGTGGTTTCTTTGGCAGCTCTAGGGGTCTCAGGCAAGGTGACCCCCTATCCCCATGTTATTCATTCTAGTGATGGATGCTCTGAGTAAAATGATGGATCGTACGGTGGGCGGAGGCTTCTTGAGAGGATTCTCAGCTCCGATCGGGGTGCTCAGTGCTCGAAGAGTTTCTCATTTGCTCTTTGCGGATGACACCCTGGTTTTCTGTGATGCCGATATAGATCAGTTGACCTACCTGAAGCAGGTCCTGCAGTGGTTTCAGATTAGGACTCAAAATCAACCTCGACAAGTGAGATTTTTTTGGTGTGTGAGGTTGCTAATATTGATGCTTTGTCTTATGTTCTCGGATGTAAGGTGGGCTCCCTCCCCTCTACTTACCTGGGTTTCCCTTTGGGCGCGTCGCATAAGGATACTACGGTTTGGAATCCAGTGATCCAAATGGTTGAAAAAAGATTAGCAGGTTGGCAAAAACTGTATTTGTCAAAAGGCGGTAAGGAACAACAACAACAACCTAGTATAATCCCACTTAGTGGAGTCTGGGGAGGGTAGTGTGTACGCAGACCTTATCCCTACCCTGGGGTAGAGAGGATGTTTCCAAATAGACCCTCGACATCCTTCCCTCCAAGAACTTCCCACCTTGCTCTTGGGGAGACTCGAACTCACAACCTCTTTGGTTGGAAGTGGAGGTTGATTGCTATCAGAGCAACCCCTTTTGTCTAAAAGGCGGTAAGGAAGTGCTTATTAAAAGCACTTTATCGAGTATGTCCACGTATTACTTGTCCCTGTTGCAAGCGCCGGTGAGCATCACAGAAAAACTGGAGCGGTTTCAAAGGAATTTTCTTTGGGATGCGGCTGATGAAACTAGAAAGTTTCATCTAGTGAATTGGCAGACAGTCACTTCCCCAAAGAAGTGGGGTGGACTTGGAGTAAAAGATCTTAGGGTATTCAACAAAGCTTTATTGGGGAAGTGGTTGTGGAGATTCGGGGTAGAAGAGCATGCCCTATGGAGGGAGGTCATAGTAGAAAAGTACGATTCCACGGGAGGGGGTTGGAGGACCAAGGCAATCACAACACCTTTCAGGTGTGGCATGTTGAGGAGCATCATGAAGAATTGGGAAACATTCAATGACAACATCACTTACAGGGTGGGAGATAGGAGGAGAATCAACTTTTGGAATCATAGGTGGTGTGGAGAGGATGCTCTGAGGGTCTCCTTCCCTCACGTCTTTAGAGTTTCAAACCAGAAGGAATTGATGGTCCAACAGATTCGTAAGGAGCATGGAGGGGGTAGTATGGGACCTCTCATTTAGAAGGAATATGCAAGATTGAGAGATTGCGGAGCTCCAAAATTTGTTGACACTACTATATGGGCAAGACAGGCCCCGACCATCTTGTGATTCTTGGAGATGGGGTTTGCGTGGTGATGGTTTGTTTACCGTAAAGTCCTTTTACTAGAGTATGTTGGTGAGAAAGGAGGCCACTTTTCCATACTCCTCGATCTGAATTCCTAAGGCGCCCACGAAGGTGTGCTTTTTTGCATGGCTAGCGGCGAGGGGTGTGATCTTTACTGCTGAAAATCTTCGAAAGGGAGGAATTACACTTGTTAGTTGGTGCTACATGTGTAAAAACTCAGGGGAAGAAGTTGATCATCTTTTGTTGCATTGCCCTGTGCCCTCGGCTTTGTGGAGGGCAATCCTGAATCTTTTTGGTGTTCAATGGGTGATGCCAAGCACTGTAAAGGAGATGTTATATAGCTGGGCCGGTTTCTGTAGAAGAAGAAATCAAAAGGCGTGGAAGTTCGTCCCGTTAGCTCTCATGTGGATAGTTTGGGGGGAGAGAAATAGGAGAGCTTTTGAGGGGATTGAGTCTCCTTTTTCACATCTTAAGAATAGTCTTTTATTTTTGATCGCTTTTTGGTGCACTCATATAGCCCCTACTTGTATAGTAGATTGGGCGTCTTTGGTAGAGAATCACGTTCTGATGTAAATTTTCTACTCTTTGGTATACTTCCTGTATACGGGAGTTCTCTCCCTTTTGATTAATACAATTTACCTTATCAAAAAAAAGCATATAACTTCTAATATAGTCTTGTTAGTTAAACATGTTAACTTAGGTCTGAAAGGACATATTTCAACTCTAATCTCCTTTACTCCTGTAATAACTCATCTTTCTTCTAATAAGAAAAAAAATATGATTTTTAAATTTCGTTCCTTATTCTTCTGCACACAGTGATGGATTCTTTTTTGCGGTCAAGGAAGTTTCGTTATTTGACCCAGGAAACCAGCAAAGCCTTTATCAATTGGAACAGGTATACTTCTGCATCTATTGGCCATTTCACTACATATCTTTTGGCTATTATTTTTCCCATTCTCCTAGCACCTTGTTTGTTTGTGCAGGAGATATCTCTTCTAAGTCAGTTTCGACATAAAAATATAGTTCGCTATCATGGAACAGAGAAGGTATGCTATCATATCCGGATTATGCATCTTCTTCAGATTTACTTCGTTTTTGCTGTGTAAGTTAGATTATGGTGAAACTGTGCTTTACATGGACAAAGGTACTATTAGATGGTTTGAATAGAGAAACTCTTTTCTGCAGTTGTTTAGGTTAGTTGAGAGTTGGATCGTTTAATTGGTAACATCATCTGCTAAATGGAGATCTGATGACATTGATCTTGTAACGACCAACTTATGAGAAAATTATTCTTCTCATATTTTACTTACAAATTCACAATGTTCTTCTATCTTCAGGACGAGAGCAAACTGTATATCTTTCTTGAGCTTGTTACAAAAGGTTCACTTGCAAGTGTCTACCGCAAGTATCGCTTGCGTGATTCCCATGTTTCAGATTACACCAGGCAAATTTTGAGTGGGTTGCATTATCTTCATTCCAGAAATGTGATTCACAGGTGATACATATGTTCTCTCTACATTACTGATTTGTGGTCATTATGAGCAGTGACCAGTGTCTTGATTCTTTGCTGAGATGTGTGCATGCGAACTTATCTTTCCATCGCTAGAAGACCGTTTAGTCATCAATCGTCATACCATGTTTCTAAATAAAATGACTTAGGTCTGAGTGGATTATCTGTGGGCATTTCTTGGTTGGAATATCTTGCTGTGATATCACCAAGCTACAGCATTATCCTGGTATCTTCATGTGAGCTGAAGTTGGCACAAATAATTATTTCGTCTTCATCAAATCTATGAAGAAGACTATCATAGGGGGATCGATAAGTTTGTGCTTTCTGCATTTACATTCTCGGGGCTTTAGGTTGTTCTGCTCGAGCACCAGAATGCTTACTCAAGAAACTAGAGGAAGAGCCGGGACTATTTATCTTTCTTTAATATGATAGGACAAAAACGTCTGATGGATATGCCATTTTGTTGATCTGCTTTCCCTAGCAGCTGTGTGCTCTTTTCCGAGAAATTAGAGAGAGATGGGAACCTCTTCTCTTTCTCAATATGGTAGGACAAGGACTGCAGATCAATATGCTCATGGAACTTACCTATCAAAATAATAATAATAATAATAAATAAATAAAAGAAGAAGAGGCTCATGGAGTGGTATTGTCTATTGGAAACATCCTCTCTACTTTCACAAGGTAAGGGTAACGTCTGTGTACACACTACCTTTCCAAAAGGGTAAGGGTAAGGTCTTTACCTATCACCATGTGGGATTATACTGGGTATTTTTTTGTTGTTGTTGCTCATGGAGTGGTCTTATTGGGGAACTTTTGGAAGGTGTATGCGATGTGATGTGCTTGTATGAGCGCATTTTAGATGTGGTCCTTGCAGCTTGCCAATAGCTTCGTTCCTCCATATCTGCAAAGAACTCTAATTAGGAGGTTGTCAAATAAGTGTTGCTACTGGCTTTGGTAAAAAGGAGGATGATTGGGGGAAACAGGATCTAATAGCTGTTAGCCTGTCATGTTGTTCTGTACATATTAGAGTGGTCAAAAAACTTTTCTGTGAAAATAATATCTGTATGACTAGTGAGAATCTGGAAAGTTCAAGTACATTTTACTTGATGTCATGGAAACTTCTTCTTTCTTATTCTAAGATTTCTATTTATGCTCTTCTTGAAGGGACATTAAGTGTGCCAATATTTTGGTGGATGTTAGTGGTTCTGTGAAGCTTGCAGATTTCGGACTGGCAAAGGTGAGATAGTTATGCAGTCTGTAGTCTTTTCCTTTAGTTGGTCTTATATCAATCAATCAACTAAGTCTTAATCGCGAACTAGTTGAGTCGGCTATATGAATTTCTCTTATTTGTTCCACTTCTATTCACCCTGGTTCATTTTGATACCTAGTTACTCTGTCTCTTGAAACAAATTAAGACCNCCAAAAAAAATAATAATAATAAAAATAAAAATAAAATTGCACACCATAGATGTGCATGCCCAAAAGTAGTTGGGGTCATGGAAAAAGTAGCGGATACAATCTTTCAGCATGTACAATAAGTTGATGTTTTTTTATCTGCCCCGCACTCCCTATGCAGACTTAGCACAGAATAGCACACAATGAAAGAAAAAGATCCATATAGGTGATATAAGTTAGTTGTGAGTAACGTTTAGTTCAATAGGAGTCTTTTAGTTTTGTTAGAGATTTGTACGACAATAGAAAATGTAGAGAATGTTTGGTACTAGATGACCTAAATTTTCAAATATTTGATTGATAGGGGTCTAAATGGAACTACATGGTTAGCGAAGGTTCCTATAGCTGATCTAATTAGCTTGGGATTTAGGCGTAGTTGCTGCTAGTGCCTCACTCAGGGGTTTCTTTGCCATTCTAATATTCATCCTGTATCGACGCATTTTGTTGTTCCATTTAAAATTTTTATTCATTTTCAAAATAAATAAAAAAATTAATTCATTTTAATGAGAAGCTATTAAATAATGTTCTATAAGTGGTCGCTTAGGTTTGGTAAAAGATAGATACATGCAATGTACATGTCTATGCTGTAAAGGATGTGTAAAGTGTTGTAAAATGGCACAGTAGTTTGGATAAAATTTGCTTGTGCAATTATGTAGCTAACGAGATACAACGTGACCATTTAGGAGTAGATTTTCATGTATCTTTGCTGAAGCAAATGTCTGTTGGGAGAATCATAACACTTCTAGTTAATCTGCCTAGGAGATGTTGTCGCATACTTCACCCATTAAGTTTGCCATATTAAAGATGATTTCCAGGTGATCATATTGTTGATGATCAAATTTACTCTTTGCTCTAATCTGTTTGCATTTTTTTCTTATTGTTTCAGTGTAGTAATATAGTAAAAGAAAGAGTTCTAGATATTTACAAGTTTGGCTCATAAAATTTGTCTTTGAGCTATTTCAGGTCGTTAATAGGAAGAACAACGGATATGGGCTTCCTGCTGATATATGGAGTCTGGGTTGCACTGTCTTAGAGATGTTAACTGGCCAAATTCCTTATTCTCACTTAGAAGGGGTATGTTATAGCTCAACGATCGAATTTTTCTGTATGGGAATTTGCAGCACTTGATTTATAACATCTGTTTTGTTTGAGTTGGAGTATGGGAATGACTTGACCCAATTCTAAAATTTTTCTCCTGCTTGTTTAATGTATGAAACCACTGAAAGTTATAGCCTAAAGTCAAATAGGAGGTTATACTTCATTTTTAAAAAAAGGGTCAAATGAGGCTATTATGAACTCAAAATCAAAGCTTTAGTGAAAATTATATTTTGAAGAAATTTACATTCACGATCTAGTAGTAGACAACTGCAGTGAAGCAGCTGTATGTTAATTTTATGCTTTCTCTTTTGACTGCCAGTATAAATTTTCCTGAAAATATTCTTCATTCAGCATAAGCGTTTATTAGTCTTTTTGCTCTTTATTTTTCCCACGTCAATTGTAATAGATCTTCTGTAGCTGTAGCTGATCTAAAATTCAGAGGCAGCATCTGTTGCATGAGATTATAAAGCCAGTCCAAGTCTCTTATATTCTTGGAAAAAGTTTAACTAGAAATGTGAACAAACAATATCTCATCGAAAATGTTTTTTATTGTTTAAATTCTTATTATATTGTTGTCTGTGATTTTATTTTAGAATGTTAGTCCTGGTAAATACCCTAATTATTACAACAATATGAGTCCTGAATGACGTAGTTTCTTATTGCCAAAAGGAAACATTCTGAATGTTGTTAGATGTTACTTAAAACAATGGCACTTCATTAAATATGAATAGGCAAAGAAGAAATAAAATATGGTTTATGGCTTAGAAAAAACTCTAGTTTACCTCAGGTATTGCGGAGATTCACATGTCAAACTCTTTTTCATTGGTTTGTACGACAGATGCAAGCACTGTTCAGGATAGGTAGAGGCGAACCTCCTCCCTTACCAGATACGTTATCGGCAGAAGCTCAGGATTTCATAAATAGATGTTTGCGAGTTAATCCGAGTGATCGGCCAACTGCAGCTGAACTACTGGAACATCCATTCGTAAAGAAGCCACTGTCAAATTTCTCAAGTCCTGCAGCCCCATAAATTCTGCTGTCAATTGTACTGAGGTAAATACCCTCTTCATCTGTCAATTTATAGGGAGTTCTACTATAGTTCTGTCTTCCTATCCACAAACTCAGGAGGGAGGAAAGTTTATATGGGAGGGGATATGAAAATGCTTTTTGGTAGCATTGAGAAATCCTACTTCTTTATAAAATGGGCTTATAAAAGACTATTGAGTTAAGTTTCCCTTTGGGAAGAGACAAACGTTTTTGCTTCAGCTTTTTCAATCTCACAAGTCACCTTAGACTTGAGGTCCACAATTAATTCTTTACTGCCACTCTTAGAATTAGTATTCACTGTTAAGGGAAAAATTTAAGGTCTATTATGTATGTCAGCATACTCTTATGTCTGCAAGTACTGATCTGATGCTTTTAGGAATGTGCAAGCCAAGGATCAATTTCAAATGAGATGCTTGTACAGTGAATTGGTTTGTGTAGCATCCGAGAAGTCTTGTGAACTGAAATTGCAAATATTTGGACGCAAGCAGTTGAATGCAGATGGGCTGGTATGTTGCAAGTAGAATGAGCAACAAAGTTCATATGTTGCGTTTGTGCTTGGACGTGTTCTATCTTATCCAAGATAGACTGTAGATTATTAGTGAATGAGATGATAGATAACCTTATAAAGGAAATTGTAAATAGTCGATAAATGGTAGTAGTATTTGTTTGCTTACACAAGAAAAAAAATGATTGCAGTTGAAAATGAAAATACTTCTTTTGCTGTATTTTCCCCGCTATGTTAGATGTGTAACATGCGATGGACTTGGTTAAGTTTCATCGTTGACCTTATCTGAAGGAAGACGAAGTAACTGTTTGCCGATAATTGTGGTATGACGCTAAATCACCATAGAAGACCACTAAACTTTGAAAATCCAATTCGAAAAGTGAGGTTGGCTTGGTTTAATTGATCGGTTAAAGCTACTGTAATATACCCTGCTAGAAAAGTCGTTTCCTAGTTCAGTACTTTGACTATTTATAATTCTCTAACTTTTTTATCATTAAAAAATTCTCTGTCCCAGTAGTATTATAGAGGGGACATATGGTGTCTTTTATCTACTAGGATGATAATGGTAATTGAAGTGGAACAGGAGCGCTGCAATTCAATCATTCCTGGCGATGATTCCCCAAAAAGCAACTTCAGCTAACTAGCTCGGCCACAGGAAGTTGGCTACCGGAGTCAATTTGAATTGTTGGCTAACCTGGTGCCAACTGCCAATTTTGAGCCCGTTTGGACATAATTTTTTTTTTCCCTTTTTTCCAAAAGAATTTCACTTTTTTTCGAAAGCAGTGTTTGTTCATAAAACTTTCAATTTTCACTTGAAGATGCATTTTGGAAATTTTCGAAAATTTTAAAAACTCCAAAAAATTACTTTTCAAAATTCACTCAAATTACTCACAAAACTTAAAAAACAACCCAAACTGAATTTTATGTCCAAACGCAACTCTAAATTTCACATATCATTTTTACTTAAAAAAAATTTTCACCATTTTTTGGAATTTTACAATTTTTATGTCCAAACACGTACTTTATTAGAGTGGTATGTTTGTCAGTTTCCCATGCTTTTATGGGTCAATTTGGCGGGATCATTTAGGGCTCGTTTGGTATGAGGCACATGGAATAATTAATCTCGAAACTAAATTTAAGAAGAGTTTATCCCATGTTTGGTTGGGAAAAAATTGCAATATAATTAATTTCGGGATTGTAGTAATTTTTTTATCCCCATAAAAAGGTAGGATAATCCCGAAATAATTAATCCTAAAACAACATCTTTCCAACCAAACGACCCCTTAGGGCTAAATAGCGGGTCATAACTCAACTTGTCGTACTCAAGCATTTTCATATGTTTATTTGTTCTTTTAGAATTTAGTTAATTATCTAAATCAAAATTACAATTTTTTCTCCCCTTTATCTATCATGACAACGTAACCAACCAATGATTGATTTTTTACTTTTATATTTCAATAATTTTTAGAGAAACTTTCAGAAATCACTATGTTTTAGTGGTTATTAGCTAGTTGTAGCTATCATTTACTATATTACTTTCTATAACTATGTTTTCAGATTTTTTTAGAGTGTATTTGATGTATTTAAGCTACTGTATTCATTAATACAGTAGAATTTCTATGCGTGAAATAGGGGATTACAGCTAGACAGATTTTTGTATTCGGGTTTATTTGACTGTATTCATGGCGTGAAATATGGGATTACAGATGGACAGATTATTGTATTCGACTATATTCACGGCGTGGAACAGGAGATTACAGTATTTTTAAACGGAAAGTGAATCAATTAACATAATAGACTCCTATAACTCAACAAACTCAATTGTAACACGCAAATTTGATATTTCCAGTTATAAAAAAGGTTCTCAACCGAAAAACACCCCAAAAACATAGCAATCTTCATAGAAATTATATAATACATTTAAATACATAAATTATATTAATTAAAAAAACAAACATATGAATACATTCATGGAATATAGTGAGACAATGAATACAATGGAATACATAGAATACATTGAAATATAATAAAAAAAGACAATGAATACATAAAACATAACGAGATACATTGAAATACAATTAAAAAAAAGACAATGAATACAATGAAATGCACCGAGATACATTGAAATATATTAACAGAAAATACAAGTTGCCCAACCCCCAACTCCGTCGTCTTTGTTCAAGAACAACCCTAATGTCGTCTCGTTGAAGCAACATCAATATCCAGTCCTCGCTCGCCGTCACCGTTGCCTCCGGTTGCCGACGATTAGCACATAATTACCAGATTGAAGACAAAGCATGTGATGAAGGGGAGAAAAAGAAACTTAGAAGTCACTCTAATAGACTGCCTCCATCGACGAATTCTTCTCCATCTTCGGAGGAGAAGTCGTGTCCTCCGCCGCTTATCAAAAGTAGAAGCAACATAAGCCAAAGTCCAGTGCCTTCATCTTCAGCCTTGATCCGGCAGAGGAGAAGACATCGGGAAGTAGAGAGAGAGAGGGATAATAGATATGTGGTAGGGGATAAGAGAAATTTGAGAGGATATGAGAGAGAAAAATAATATAAAGCTTATTTTATGGCTTAAGGGTACCATAAATAGATATTTGGCGATAAAAAATCAAAAGGTAGCTATAGAATATAATTTTTTAAAAGGGTATTTATTTAAAATAAATAAGGTATCAACCTTTGCTGTATGAGGTAACTAATCCTAATTTACGCGTTTTAATTGAATTGCATAAGCTGTCCAAATTGGTCCAAACTTTTAGATGAATTGACTTGGGTTACGCTAAATTTACCTGTCAATGGATATATACTCACTCCAATCGGTCAAATTGGAACAAGATGACCAGGTCAAATGTTCATGGGTTAAATTTGATATTACATGTGCTATTTATGCTATATCGAATTCTTCTAAAATGTTTAACTTTCTAGCCAGTATTGACAAATTTCAGACAAAAGCTAAAATACTATTTTGTCCTTGTAAATTTTTTACTTCTTCACTAAGTTGAAGCCCATGAAAAGTAGTCTGGTAGCTCTAAAGTATCCTATGTTTTTCGTCTTCTTAACTAATCTAGGCAACAACTTCATGTGCTTAATTCAATCATGCTGCAATCTACCATTCAACCTAATGATAATCAAATTCTATTATGAAATAAGTAAATTACCAACTATTGTATTAATTATGAATAAGGAATTATAGCCATATCAAATGCTTATAATAGATAATGTTGAGGAGGTATAAAATACGAGAATACGAAGATGAATGAATATCAAGCATTTTGCTTAACAGAAAATATAATTATAGAAGCTCAAACAAGAACTTAGATATAATTTCTCAAAATAACCTTAAAGAACCTGAATAGCTAAGATCTTCATATAACCATTGGCTCAAATATTTGAAGTTAGACTTCGTAGTCCCTAACTTCAAACATGTTTAAATGTTGAACTACCAAACCTTCATGCTATTTGTAAATCATACTCCTTTACAATTTTAAAATTACGAAAATAATCTTTTTAGATCTCTTATGTGTAAAAGACATATTTCTTATATATAAAAATAAATTTCTCACGTGTAAAAAAAAAAAAAAAATAGGGTCATAGAACCAAAACCAAATTGTAAACCACAAACCCAATTGACCTTCAGGCTTTCCAATCAATATGTCAATTTCAGACATTTGGCAAACTCAACTTTAGATTTTGAAGCGGCTAAACTTGAAAATTCTATATTCTTCTGCATAAACCTCAAATGTAAAAATAGCATGGGCTAGCTAGTTATTTTGCTGCAACACAAAAAGTTCCAGCATATTATATTGGAGATCAGTGCCCTGTGTATGAACTTCTAGTATATTATGCTGGAACCCAACACGCGAAAAGTTCCAACGTAATATACTGGAGATTGGAGTACCTGTATATAAACTTCCAGCATATTATGCTGAACCGATATATTATATTGGAACTCTAGTATATTATGTTGGAACTCCAGTATATTATGACAACATTTGCAAAGTCATTGAAAAATAGCCACTATTTTGCTGCAACACGGAAAGTTCCAGCATAATATACTGGAAATCGATGCACTTGTGTATGAACTTCCAGTATACTATGCTGGAACTCCAACACGCGAAAAGATCCATTGTAATATACTGGAGATTGGAGTACCTATGTATAAACTTTCAGTATATTATGCTGGAAGTCTAGTATAATATACTGGAACTCCGATATATTATACTGGAGTATTTTCCAGATTTTGAACAGTGTTTTCATTCAGATTTATCTTTACATGAAAAGTGGCTATTTTTGAATGACTCAATTGCCTATATGTGCACTTGCCTCAAATTTGATACCCCTGGTTCGGGTCAAGGCCCAAGCTCGTCGTAAATATAAAAGCCTTGAGAAAATCCACAATCCCGCAAAAAAAGAGAACCCCACTGAAAAATACCGTTCCCTCCAAATCTCTACAAACCCTCGTAAAAATCCCCAAACTCCACAAAAACCCCACGCAACCGCACACACTCAAAGAGCCAGAAGGAAAATAAAATAAAATCCAAAGGGCAGTGCTGAAATCCGTGTAATGGGGAAAGACGAGGATGAGATGAGAGGTGAAATTGAGGAGAGGCTGATAAACGAAGAGTACAAGATTTGGAAGAAGAACACACCTTTTCTTTACGATCTGGTTATTACCCACGCGCTCGAATGGCCTTCACTTACCGTCGAATGGTTACCGGACCGGGAAGAGCCGCCGGGAAAAGATTATTCCGTTCAGAAGATGATTTTGGGGACCCACACATCCGAAAATGAGCCGAACTATCTCATGCTTGCTCAGGTTCAGCTCCCTCTCGAGGATGCTGAGAATGATGCCAGACATTATGATGATGATCGGTCTGAATTTGGCGGATTTGGTTGCGCCAATGGCAAGGTTTAAATCTTTTCTAATTTTTGACTGTTATGTGGATTTCCCTTTTCAGTGTTCTGGGAGTTTCTAGCTGCTTTGTCGTTATATATATATTTTCTTAATTCAGGTGTAAAGGTCTTAATTTTGTGCGATTTATTGAATTATGCTAGCTCTGAGGTTATGTGAAGTTGTCTCCTTTTCAGCTTATTTACTAAGGTGTAGTGAATTGAAAGTTGACTAGTTTAACTCTTGGTTTTCACTTAAAGTATATTTAAAAATTCACTTAAAGTTGTTGTTGTTGTTGTAGTATATTTAAAAATTCACCAAAAG